CCCGCTGCGGAGTCCGTGACCCCCCGCTGGCCTGCCGCCGCCGCCGTCGAGGCCGCGAGTCGGGGAGCTGCCCTGCCCACTCCCCCGCGCCTTCCTGGAGCAGCGCCGGAGCCGCCGAGCCCCTGTCCCCAGCTCTGCCAGACCCTGCGGTGGCGGCAGCAGCGCACTCGAGAGTGGGTGGCCAGGCACCCTCAGGTGCCCGAGGCCCGGGCGCAGGGCCCCATCCGGGCCTGGTCGGTGCTGCCAGACGACTTCCTCCCACTGCCTGCGGAGCCTGCCTCGGAGCCGCCGGACGCCCCTCTTCCCTCTCCCTCGCACCTTCCTGCCCTTCCGGATGAGTCGTCTGCGTCCTGGCTGGGGCCGCCGTCGAGGACCGTCTTTCGCAGCATCCGTTGCCAGCTGTCTCTCCAGGATCTGGATGACTTCGTGGAGCAGGAGAGCCACAGCAGCGAGGAGAGCAGCGGACCCCGGGAGTCCCCTGCGGGCTCTGAAGATGGGCTGCAGCTTGTCCCTGGAGCCCCAGACTGGGGCAAGCTCAGGAATCCGACTGGGGGCCTTTCAGCGTCTCCAAAGGAGGGCAGCCCCAGCGCAAACCCTCCTGGCCTCAGGAGTGCAGGAGATGGTCAGGCCTCTGGGCAGGTCCCCGCAGGGGCCAGCGGCCTTGCAGACCACCCCCAGGAGCCCAAGCTGTGGAGACACCTCCGGCAGAGCTCTCTGAGAGGGAGAGCTGAGTTGTCCTCCTCTGACGAGGAGTACCTCCATGAGGGCTTCCTCAAAAGGAGTCGGCGCCCACCTCGATGCAGGAGACCCTCTAAGGCAGGAGTGGTGCCCAGCCCGAGGGTGGATGCTACTTTGACACCCAGACTTACAGAGGTCAAGGCTATGGTAGCTGAGCGGGGCTGGCCTCACAGCTCCCGAGCCCCCACATCCTTGGTCCCTCATAGACTTTCTGAACACAAGTCATCCCTGGTACCCCTGGATGCCAGGGAACACGAGTGGATTGTGAAACTTGCCAGTGGTTCCTGGATGCAGGTGTTAACTTTGTTCTGGGAGGACCCCCAGCTGGCGTTGCACAAAGACTTCTTGACTGGGTACACTGCCTTGCACTGGATAGCCAAACATGGTGCCCTTGGGGCCCTTCAGGACCTGGTCTCAGGGGCACAGAAGGCAGGGATCTCTCTTAATGTAAATGTGAGGTCCAGTTGTGGGTATACTCCACTGCACCTGGCAGCCATTCACGGCCACCATGCGGTCATCAAATTGCTAGTGCAAAGGTTTGATTCTCAGGTGAATGTCCGGGACAGCAGTGGGAAGAAGCCATGGCAGTATCTGACCAGTAATACCTCTGGGGAAATATGGCAGCTACTGGGAGCCCCTCGGGGCAAACCCATTTTCCCTGTCTATCCCTTAGTAAGAAGCTCTTCCCCCACAAGAAAGGCCAAGAGCCGGGAAGTATCTAGAAATGTCACCCGAAAGACGTCCCTTGCTGCACGACTTAAAAGCCAGCACACCAAGTGGAAACTGGCCAACCAGTACGAGAAATTCCCTAGTCCAAGGGGAAGAGAAGAGTACAGTGACTGAGGCGGACCTCTGTCTCCAAGAACGCCACCGTGCCCTCCCTCCTGAGCTCCTCAGCAAGAGAATACAGGGGGAATGGAAGCACTGTGGAGAAACTGGGGGAGAGTAAGGGCAGGTGAGACAGCCTGTGAAGCTTTGCCTCTCTAGAACTTGCCTTGGCACATCCTGGACCTCAGGGGTCACCCACACTTTCTGAAGTCAAGGCTTTGAACCGGTGAAACCTAGACAAGGGGCAGAGCCAGGTGCTCAAAGCCCAGGGGGCATTCTTCTTTTCCCTTGCCACCATGGATCTGGGCACTAAGTCACATTGATTTCTGAAGCAGCAATCCCAGGCCTTGGCTAGAGAGGGAACAGATGTCAGCAAGAGAAGCAATTCAAGGAACACAATCCTCTCTGACTAGTAGCTCTCTGGCTTCTACTCATTTGGAGAATAAGTCTTGGCTGACAGTGAGAAGCACCAGGTTTGAAATCAGATGGCGCTTTTTTTTTTTTTGGCATTCAAATCAGTGAAATAAAATTATTACTGGAGAGTAGAATTTGATTTAAGAGATTCCTCAGTCTGATCAGAGAAGCAGTTGGTGAAGATCCAGTCAAGACATGGACTCTGCTCCCAAGAGAAATGACTGACATTCAGGCCCTGCTTTTGTGTATCAAACCAAAAGGAACTTTCCACATATAAAAATCATGTGGTTCATTTGCATAGTGACTGAAACCATCTTTCATGGAAACTCCCTGTGTAACAAAAGAATTGTCATTACTAGATTTCAGTAAGTTTGAATGACCAATGTTCATACACATGAAAAGAGAGAAATGATTTCACTCTGGGGAAGCAGTAAGGCTTAAGCGAATGCCTCCCCACCAGGGACTTTCTAAGCTGCTAAATGTAATTTTATTTGCACTAAACTTGTTGCCAATTAAGATTAAATATTAGCCTTGAAGTACTGTATATGTAACAGGAAGTGCTCCTTTTAATTGCTTGTGAAGAGACTGATTATTGTGGGTTCGTGGAATGAGAGACTGACAAGTCTATAAACTGCCATAGAACATCAAGATTTCAGAATGTAATTTCAAAGAGGGCTAAAAAATTAAATGTTCTGTGGAAATTGTCGGTTTCTTATGGGAATGTTTTCATGTGTTATGGCAATGATGCTGCATTTTAAAAGTATTTTTGTGTTTTCTCTGGTAATTTTCCCCCATTAAAAGATCAATATATCTTTATAATTTGTTGTACCTTTGTTGATTACTGTTTATTTTCTTCTTTACAAAATTGATCTCAGTATCAAATATTTTTGTTTCTTTGGTGTTTTACTTTATAATTTTGCAGAAATGAATATCTCAGTGCTACTAGAAAAATATAGGCATAATAAATAAATCTAAGGGCTTTTTTTTTTTTTTACCAAAAACAACTATATAAGAGATGAGACTTGGAAAATCAAATCAAGAAAAAAAGACAACCACAGATGGTAGGGGCATGGTTTGAAGAGATGAAAATTCAGAATATGGGATAAACATCTATGCAAATACTCTAGTAAACTACTAGAAATCTAGTGATTTTTCAAGGAAAAAATTAGAGGAATATAAACTTTTTTTTAAAAAACCAATGAATTTTTTAAAATCATATTGTTATCACTATATCAATTTATCCAACAAATATGTTTGTGTAATGCTGTGGGATTTATAAAGGGAAGTGGGACATGATCTCTGCTCTCTTGAAACTTAAGATCTAAAATATTTATTTTTTATCACTTTCTACCCTATCCTATCTTGCTCCAGTGTCTTTTAAAGCTGTGTTCGATTAGATAATAAACTTGTAAAAATGAGATAAAGAGGAAAAAAAAAAGGTGGTACCAGGAATGAGGATAAACAACTGCAGTTAAGAAAAAAATTTCAAAGTGTCATAAGTACAAAGCTAAGTGCTCTGAGGTCAGGGGTGGGGATGCAGGGGTGGAGACAGAGAGAGAGGGAGACAGAGAGAGAGAGAGACAGAGACAGAAAGAGACACAGAGAAAGAGAGAGAGGAGAGAAAAAGATAGAGACAGAAAGAGACAGAGAAAGAGACACAGAGAGATATCCCTGTGGGCTGGAAAAATCAGAGAGGGCTTCCTGGAAGCCAGTGAATGATACTGGTTATCCTAAGAAACCAGCTTTGTTAGTTCTACCACATTCTTGACTTCTGCCAGTGTGTGATTTACATAGCACTGGTACTGGCTGATTGCTCATTGGTTAGAACACAATTCTTAAATCTCAAGTTGGTCCTCATAGAGACCTGTCCTGTCTCTCTGGACTTTGCCTGCCTGTCTTACCTGCTCTGGTAAGCTCACTCAAGGGTGATCTCTGAGCTGGAAGATGTGTAGCTCCTTCCTCAGGGTTCTAGGATGATGTTGGATAATATGGATATACAAGTAAATTGTTTGTTTCGGTTTTCCCAAAGACTTGAAACATCTGGAGATTAGAGAATATATTTTCAATTCATCCACATTTACCATATATTTATGGAGCTTCTACTATGTGATAAAGACATAATTCCTGTCTTCGACAGCTCATAGTCTACTAGGGAAGGCGATGTAGGGTGGGGTCACTGAAAAATCCAGCACAGTGAGGTAAGTGCATAGACACGTGATCAAGACTGGGAATGCGGAAAAGAGGCTACGTATGAAGCATTTTCTTTTTCTTTTTTAGATTGGAAAATATAGTTTATTTAAAAAGTAAATTAGAGAAGAAAAAAGAGATTCACCACCCCAAGGTAGGGGAGGTAGGCCAAAGTCAAGAAACATGGCAGCCATAGCTCAAGGAGCCATGTGGGCACACCAGAACTTAACAAAGCAATGGCCACAAAGCATTTTCTATGTGCCAGCCTCTATGTGTATGCCGACCTCCTCTATACATGTTTAAAAATAATATTTTTGAGACATAATTCACATACCACACAATTAATCTATTTAAAATGTATAGTTCTATGGTTTTAAGTATAATCAGAGTTATGCCACTGTTGCCACAATAAATTCCCTTATAAACTTGAGAACCACTGACCCAGGCAATAAGGAACCAGTGACAGTTTAATGCAGAGGGGTGACATATAGGTTAGGGTGAAACAAAGATTCCTCTTGATACAGTAAGAGAGATAAATTTGGAGCAGAGACAGTTGAACTATTGTAATATCTGAGTTTCATATTGGGAATATGAGGAAGTGGACTCAAAGCTGGACAAGATGATAAGTTTTCTTTCCGTGATGGGGACAGAAAACTTTGTTGAGGGGGCTGACTTTGTTGGGAAGAATTAGGTAAGATCCAGAGGAGCCTCTCCATTTCCTCTCACCTCCAAAAATGCCCTAGTTTTGTAATTAAATCACTTCATTTCTGTGGCAACCATCCAGGTTGGTGGTGGCACTGAATTCAAGAGTAAATTCAATCTCAATACAGGTTATTTATCTTAACAGGGCAGCTCAGTGTGCTTGGGTTTGTTGACATCAAAACAAATGTAAAATGGTTAATGAAAGGTAAGATAGTATGAGTATCTTGTCCTGGTTTGGACCTTTAACATCTCAGTTTTCTTATTTGTAAGATGGAAACATATTCATAGCAATAGAAGATGGTTTTTTTGTTTTTTTGTTTTTAAAGAGGATAAGATGTATTAATACCTGTACAAAGTCCTTAGAAAAAGTCTGGTACATGGTAAATACCCAATACTTGTTTGCTGTTAGTATTTAACACCATTTCAAATATATAGTTCACTTAAATTTCCATCTATGCAGGAGACAAAGAAATCTGCTAGTTGATTAGGAAGGTGCCACGAGAACAAAATGTACTGATAAAGCCAAACACGTTTCCTCATGCTTCTACATTAAAGAGATGCTTGGGTTTCTCACTTCAAATGAAAAAGGCTACTAACTATCTTTTGTGTGTAACAATCATGAACTATTATGGAATGTCATTACACAGAATTATGTCTAATTGAAGTCACATAACTAACAGAAGTCAAATTAGCAGTCCCGATGTAGCCTGGAATGGACACTCAGGCAGAACTCTGAAGGGTTGAGGCCTGTGGAGCAGTGAGTGAGTGAGTGTGTGTGTGTGTGTGTGTGTGTGTGTGACCACTATCACTCATGAAATGTGAAAAATCCAAATTCACGCAGCAAACTGTATCATAATTCTGCTAATTTGTGAAGATGAAGCCTTAGTGAATTGTATTACAAATTACTGACCAGTCGAACAATTCCTTCTTCATGATGTGGAAATAGTACTTCTTGATCCCTGGCTACCAGGTTGGACTCTTAGTTTCTGTTTTGTATGAGCGAGGAGGAGAGGGAGGAGGGTGGGGGAAGGATTTGATCCTTTTGTGTATTCAGACTTCATCTGTCATCACAGTCTGAGCCTCCTTCTGCATCTGGCTCAGCATCCTCGCACAGCTCAGAGGCTGGAGAGGTCTTCCGAGTGTGATCACAGCACCGAGGGGCCCAGGTGAGGTCAGGGGGCCTGGGGGCGGGGTGAGGATCCAGCAGGGCCTGGAGGAGGAGATGACAGCTGAGCTGGGTCTCCAAGAATGAGCCATCATCACTTGGCCAGGGTCTCCGTTTCCACGTTGTCACTGGAGTGGAATTTACAGAATACAACAAATCGATGGCGTGGGCTCAGGTTAACCAGCTTTGTGCAAATGCCACTTTTTTCTGCCTCCCCTGCGAGGCCGGAGTCCCACAAGAATGGAGTCCTCTGCCCGCGTCACTCCCTGCGGGTTGGGAAGAGGCGCGCGAAACTGTTTGTTCCTGCGAGGCTGTCAGCTCCTTGAGGGAGAAATGCCATCACTCTTGCTGATCCCTGGTTCAACTTGTGCCCGGTGAGGGCCTGGCACGTGGTCGACACAGCGGGCAGTTCGCTGACTGAGTCACTGATGACAACAGAACACAGGAGCAGGGCTTGAAACTAGGAACATATCCCAAATCCTGCCTTCAAACAGGAAGCCGCAAATTTTTTTTCCCTTGTGAGGGTGAGGCAGAAACCAGCTTTTTATTATGGGTGAGATGGGGCCTCCGGGGAAGGAGGCGGTGGGAGAGGGAACAGGTGCTGCCATGGGTCACAGAGGATGGTGATGCGGGAGAAGGGTGGGAGTGGGCACAGCCGGGAGATAGACAGACTCAGAGGCTC